GACACTGGGCTTATGTAGTGGAATGTGGTGTGGTGGAAAACACAGGAGACAGATGTTTCAGAGACAAAGAAAACACTGATTTTATTGGGAAAAAATGGCAAAATTTAATATTTACAGAAAACAAGAAAGTGAATATTAAAACCCACCTATCTCTGACTGAGACCTTGTCTCCTAGTTAACTTAGCTCCCAGTTAAGCCTTGCAGCTAAGACTTGATACAACGGGCAAATAGATACATTGGGTGGCTGTTACTTATGCTAATAGGGAGGAGAGAGAGAGAGAGAGATTACCTGTTGACACCAAGCCCTATTCCACTTCCCTTCCTAAGGGGTGCCCTACATTGTTAGCCCTCCTGAACCCCATCTTTCCCTATCTAAGACTAGCCAAGCTGGGTTAGAGGGTCTTGATAACCTTAGGCTCACCCCTAGTGTGAAAACGCGATTTTGACTGGCTCTTTTCTGCTGTTGCTTGCCATAGCTGGGAATCCGCGAAGGGCCGCAAGTATTGGTAACAGTCACTCTAGTGGTGTCCGCTGATGCAGTTAGACGGGTGGGACCATACCGGTGAGTACCTTGGTTTTTCTTTCTTCTCTTGGTGGTCCTTCCGAGCGGGATGTTGTTGTGGATGGTGGTGGATGTTGCTGGTGATCCCTCGGTCGGTATTTCGTGTCTCTGGAAGCCTTCAGTTGCCTCCCGACGTTGAGCAGAGGTTCATAGTTAGTCGCTGGTGTTCAGTGGTTGCACGGGCTACTTTCCTTCGCAAGTGGGGCCTGCTTCCTGCTTGGACTCTCAAACTCCCCTCACGGAGCCAACCTTACAGCAAACACCTGGTTGGAATTGGGGCACATGGTTGGTATCGCAGTGCTGGTCTCACAGAGCCTGAACTTGCAGTGTCCCACTTACAGTGCAGGATTCTCGATACACTTGCTCTTTTTCTCTCCTCCTCTTCCCTCTCTTCTGAATTCATTCACTTCTTCTCTTCCTTCACTTCTCTGCTGGGCTTGGGGTCTCCAGTTGTACCCAACTGCAGGCCCCCTTATCTCACGCCAAATCTGTTGAGCTATTGTTCCTTCTCTTGGGGCTGAATGGGCTTCCTGAGCACTAGAGTAGTGTGAATGGGTTTTCAATTAAGGTGAATGGTTTGATGATTTTGGAATGTCCAGTATTTTCCTTGGATGGGTATTCATTCACAACCCACAATAGGGTTGTGAATGTCTTTACATCCATAGGTGGAACAGGTTTGCATGCAGCACAATGGTGTGGCATGTTCAGTATTTCTGTGCCTGAACACTGGCTGGAAAATTGTATGGTTTTGTACCTCTGTAGGCTCCAGAGGGTCTGAAATTATTGAAGTTGTTTGTTTCCTGAAGCCTGGTTTCCATTGTTTTTAATCTGGGGTATGATTTGAGGTCTTCCTTTAGTTTCTGCAAACTAACCCCTGTTCCAGACATCTGCCTCTGAGCTTCCATATTACTCAGTCTATCCCAGCCAGCCTGTTCCTGGTTCAGTTACAGCCCATGGTTTCTTGAGTCCCAAAAGTTCGGGTGGATTTAATCCAATGTAATTTCCACAATTTCTGTCTTCAGAAAGTTTTAGTCCCGGGTATGTCCATAAACTGATGGGGATTTTTGCCCCACCTTACAGTGCAATATAATGTGGATAAATGTGAGCTTATTCATTTTGGTCACAAAGACAGGAAGGCAGATTATTATCTGAATAGTGGCAGTTTAGGAAAAGGGAGGTGCAACGAGTCCTGGGTGTCATGGTGGAACAATTGCTGAAGATTGGCATCCAGATGCAGCAGGTGGTGAGGAAAACTAATGGCTTGCTGGCCTTCATAGCGAGAGGATTTGAGTATTGGAGTAAGGATGTCTTGCTGCAGTTATACAGAGCCTTGGAGAGGGCCACAACTTGAGCATCGTGTGCATTTTGGGTCTCCTAGTCTGAGGAATGACATTCTTGCTATTGAGGGAATCCAGCCAAGGTTCACCAGAGTGATTCATGGAATGGCAGTACTGCCAAGTGGGGAAAGACTGGATCGACTGGGCTTGTACTTGCTGGAGTTTAGAAGAATGAAGGGGGGATCTCACAGAAACATATAGGACTGGAACAGGCTAGATGCAGGAAAAATGTTCCTGATGTTGGGTAGTCTCGAACTAGGGGTCACAATCTAAGAATAAGGGGTAAGCCATTTGCGGACTGAGATGAGGAAGAATTTCTTCACTCACAGAGTTGAGAACCTGTGGAATTCTCTTCCACAGGAAGCTGTTGGGGCCAGTTCATTAGATATATTCAAGAGCGACCTGGATATGGCCCTTGCAGCTAAAGAGATTAAGGGGTATGGAGAGAAAGCAGGAATGGGATACCGAGATTGCACGATCCGCTATGATCATGTTGAATGGTGGTACAGGCTCAAAAAGCCGAATGGCCTACTCCTGCACACATTTTATGTGATTGTATGATAACCAAAATACTGGGATGAGCAATGTAAGAACAAGAAGGTAGGACCTTAACTTGAACCTGATGTAACAGCAAAATTCTAACAAGCAGGATATTCTTTGTACGCATTCTTATTGCATTATTAACATCCATTTTCAATATTACATTAAAATCATTAGCTTTTTGTGATCGACCAGGTGCAGAAATCAGGTTCAAAAAATGCAGCCTGCCGAATCCATTGGAAATGATCTTTAATTGTTAAAAACATTGTTTTTGTTCATTCTCTTTTCATGCACCTTCATAGAATGGATTAATAATTAACTGCTGCATCTAAAATAGATACCAATAGACAAATCTGTCCACAAAACATTGACTTCTAAATAAGCTGTCTGACCCTCTGCATATCTTGAACTCTCTGGTGCTTTAACTTTTCTCTTCACGTTCCATGCTTTGTGGGCTAGGGATTTGTCCAGTACTCGTTATTCGCCACTTTCTGAAGTCAATATTCCTAAGACCAAACAGCTGCTGCTGCCAGAGTAACATCAAAAATGCTCTTTAAGGCAAGGGAAACTTGGCACGTTCATCTGACACAGTCACAGGGAGCTATTCACAAACGAATGAATGAACAGTAACGTTGCCTGGAGATCTGTTATTCACTATCCACAGAATCATCAGGATTTAGGCTGTTCAGGGCTGCACAGAGGCCCAGGAGGGAGCATGGGAGGGAAAGAAAAGACAGAAAACTGCAGATGAAAAGCAGTGCAATGAATACATTCTAAAATAATATCAACACATTGTTGACTAGATTGCTAAATTTTGTTGATCTAAATGAATTTACCTGAAAAATCAGCAAAGAGGAGCAGCAATAACTTTGTTTTTATGCATGGTGTGGTCTGGAGCTATGGATAGCGCAAGTACGGGCTTCAGTTTTCTTCCCAACATGCTTTCTCTCCCATGGTTGTTAGTCTGTGGAATTCACTTCCCAGAACAGCGGACACTAAGTCATTGAATATCTTCAAGTCTGAGTTGGATAGATTTTTGAAGGATATGAGAATCTAGCATTCAGATGGGAAAAAGGAATTAAGACCATAGCCAAATGGTAGAGTCAGCTCAAAGAGCCAAATGGCCCAGTCCTCTTCCTAAATTCCTATATGACTAACCAAGGAATCTCTCCAACTTTTACCGTTTGCCATTGGTGTATTTAGGAAGGATTTACAAGTTAACGATCAACATATTTGGTTATGTTATGAACACACTTTCCTTTGACCATCAAGTCCTGGCTCAGAGGCAGAGACAGTACCCACTGCGCTATGAGTATGTGGGAGAGAAAGCATACTGGGAAGAAAATTGGAGCCCCTTCTCTCACTATACATAGCTGTAGACCACACCATGCATAAAAACAAAGTTATTGCTACTCCTCTCTGCTGATCTTTCAGGTAAATTCATTTAGGTCAAAAAATTTAGCAATCTAGTCACCAGGTACCCACTGTGGATTTCGTGTGGAGTTTTCTCTATTTCTAGCTTGTTTGGTGAGCTTTCAAAGATAGGAAGCTGGGTATTAGTGAGGAAAGTGGGTTGTCAACATGGAATTTAATGAACAATAATCTCATTAATTGCCAATTCACAGGAGTCTCACCATGCTGCTTAAAAGCACAAAAGCCGCAAGCAGGCTGGGGGAAGGAAATAAATGATCAATCGAGAAAAAAGAAGTAATCAGAAAACTAATTCAACTAAACACTGATTCATCCCCGGGTTGCATCCTAGGATATTAAAAGACATAGTGATGCATTATCTCTCCAGCTATCTTCCAAGAAGTCACCATAATTTTCCAAGAATCCTTAGATTCTGGAAAACTCCCAGAAGGTTGGAAAACTGCCAAAGTAACACCTTTAGTCAAAAAGGCAGGGTGACAAAAAAAAGGTAATTTAGGCCAGTTACCTTACATCTGTCATTGAAAAATGCTAAAGTCTATTATAAAGGATGTAATAGCCAAGCATTTAGAAATAATTAATAAAATCATGTAGAATTAGCATGGATTCCTGAAGGGGAAATGCTGTCTGACAAGTTTATTACAGTTCTTTGAGAAGGTAGCAAGCAGATTGGATAAAGTGTAACCAATAGATATAGTATATTTGAATTTCCAAAAGGCATTTAATAGGGCACCATACATTTGGCTATTTAATAAGATAAGAGCTAATTGGTTTGGGTAGTATATTAACACAAATAGAGGACCAACTAACTAGTCAAAGTCAGAGATTGGGATAAAGGAGTATTTTCAGGATGGCAACCTGTAACTAGTGGAGTGTCACAGGAATCAGTGCTAGGACCACGATTATTTGCTATATATATTAATGACTTCACCCATCTTTCACCTCCAGATGAAATGGAGAGGAAGTCGTGCTCTTACCTGCTTAGTTTCTGCCTCATCTTGGTTTAGCACGCACCCAGGCTCCTCCGAACCGTACTCTCAGCATCTTCTGGAAATCTGCCCTGATGGTGAAGGGGATAAAGGATCAGTCAGCCCAGTTCCAAGAGAAAATGACCTCACTCTTGCCTGAATTACCCTGGGTCCCAAAGTCAGTTTGAACCAGTCACAGATGCTCATGAGTCTGCACACTGACAGCGCATCTGAGCATAAAACAGCAATGTCATCCATGTATAGGGAGGATTTGACCTGCAGGCTTCCGCTGCTTGGCACAGCCACCAGTCTCAGGCTTATCTCAGGCACCTCTCCTGATGGACTTGGCAAAAGGTTCTGTGCAACACACAAAAAAGGCAAGAGAGGAAAGACAGTTTTTCCTGACTCTGGATTAGATCAGGAAGCTTTCTGACTGCCACTCATTGTTTGAGACTGCAAGAATGAAGGAATGGCAATATATTTCCATGTCAGGATGATGAGTGACTTGAAGGGAATTGGAGGTGGTAGTGCTCCCATGTATCTGCTGCCTTTGTCCTTATAGTTGGAAATGGTTGTGGGTTTGGAAGATGCTGTCTAAGGAACTGATTCTCTGACACTGATACCTTGTCATCCTGGGAAAAGTACATAATTTTCAAGTTCCAGTCAGGAACATCTTCACTTCCTGGTAATGGTAGCCTTCACAGGGCATCTGCATCGTTGTGCTTCTCTGCCTGTTGGTATTTGATCTCATATGAGTTAGCTGACAGAGCCAGTGCCCATCTCTGCAGGCGTGCCGCTGCCATTGACAGTATCCCTGTATATGGGCCAAAAATGGAGGCTAGAGCTCTGTGATCAGTCAGCAGCAGATAGTGCCTGCTGGAAAGGAAATGGGCAAACTTCTTAAGCTCTGAACATGATGCTAAATACTTCCTTTTCAATTTAAGCATAATATTTCTGGATGCAATGGGTTTTTCCTCTCCGTTCAGTAAGATCGTAGAATCCCTACAGTGTGGAAACAGGCCCTTCGGCCCAACAAGTTCACACTGATCCTCAGAGCATCCCACCCAGACCCATCCCCCTATAACCGAGCTAATCTACGCACCCCTGAACACTATGGGCAATTTAGCATGGCCAATCTACCTAGCCTGCAGATCTTTGGACTGTGGGACGAAACCAGAGCAAACCCACGCAGACATGGGGAGAACGTGCAAACTCCACACAGCCCGAGGGTGGAATCGAACCTGGCTCCTTGGCACTGTGAGGCAACAGTGTTAACCACTGAGCCACCATGCCACCCCTGACGTGAGACACTACACCGCCAATCCCATAAGGTGATGCGTTACATGCTAACTGTAGTGGCAACTTTAGTTCAAAATGCGTTAACACTTCAGATCTTTTTTAAGGTTTGCTCCAAATCCTAGTAAGCCACCTCACACTCCTGGGTCCATTTCCACAGCTGCCCTTTTCCCTGCAACTGATACAGGAATTTTAACACAGTTGCCAGATCAGACATGAACTTGCCACAGTAATTTACAAGTCCTAAGAACATTCTCTGGTCCAGAGATCTTCATGACAGCTTCCATCTTGGGCAAAAATCTTTGTATAGTCGCTCGCCATCAATTATATGGCCCAAGTACTCTACAGAGTCTTTAGAAATACTTGCATTTCTCTCTTTTCACTTGTAGGCCATGTTCCTGCAAATTTTTTAGAGTTTCTTCCAAATTTTCCAAATGTTCCTCTTCAGAAGATCCGGTAATCAAAATATCGTCCAGATAACAGTGGACTCCTGACAATCCACTTCATACTGATCCATTCGCCTCTGGAATAAACTGACATGATGCCAAAATGAAGTTGTTTGCAGCGAAATAGTCCCCTGTGAGTCCTTATAGTCAGTGGCGGCTGAAACCCCTCTGTGACCCCCATGTGTAGGCAGGCATGCAACAGATCCATTTTTGAAAATTTCTTTCCCCTGCCAGTCCATTGAATAAGATCTTCTATGAGTGGTAGGAGGTATTGATCTTCACTCAGGACTGGGTTAATTGTGACCCTAAAGTCACCAAAAATTCTGACTGGGCCATCTGTTTTTAAGATGGGAATACTGGGAGTGACCCATTGACTCGTGGTTACTGGTCCCAATGCTCTCAGATCCACCAGCTATTCCAGTTCTGTCTCCACTTTAGGCTGGATGGCATACGATACCTGAACACCTTCAGACTCCTAGGAAGAGCCTCTGGATTCAGCTGTAATTTAGTTTTGACTCTATTCATTTTCCACAGGGTTCCTTTGAAAACATCTTTGTCCTTGTCCAGGACCTCTTACAAATTTAGGTTTGAGACTGCCAGCCTATTCACCATGTCCCGCTTTAACCTCAATTTTTGTAACCATGAGCATCCGAACAGTAGAACATAGAACATAGAACAATACAGCACAGAAAAGGGCCCTTCAGTCCACAGTGTTGTGCCGAACATGATGCCAAATTAAACTAATCCCTTCTGCCTGCCCTTGGTTCATATCCCTCCATTCCTTGCATATTTGTGTACTTATCTAAAAGTCTCTTAAGAGCCTGTATTATATCTACCTCCATCACCACCCCTGGCAGCACGTTCCACACTCCTACCAATCTCTGTGTAAAACACCTACCCCTCACAGCTCCTTTTAACTTTCCCACTTTAAACTTAAATGCATGTCCCCTAGTTTTAGACATTTCAACTCTGGGAAAAAGATTCTGACCATCAATCCTATCTTTGCATCTCATAATTTTATAGACTTCTATGAAGTCTCCCCTCAGCCTCCGCCTCTCTAGAGAAAACAACTCGAGTTTTTCGAGCCTCTCCTTATAGTTCACACCCTCTAATCCAGGCAGCATCCTGCTGCACCTGCTCCATCCTTCTTGTAATATGACGGCCAGAATTGAATGCAGTACTCCAGGTGTGGCCTAGAGTCTTATAAAGCTGCAATGTGACATCCGGACTCTTGTACTTGATTCGCCAACCAATAAAGACAAGCATGCCATGCACCTTTTTCACCACCCTATATATTTGCGTGGCCACTTTTAGGGAGTTATGGACTTCAACTTCAAAATCCCTCTATACATCAATGCTGTTCAGGATCCTGTCATTAATTGTATACCTTCCATTACACATGTACACTCATACTTACACAGATTAAACTTCATCTGCCATTTCCCCACTCATATCTGCAACTGATCTATATCCTGCTGTATTCTTTGACAACCTTCTACACTATCCACAACTCCAACGATCTTTGAGTCATCTGCAAACTTACATCTACATTTTCATTCATATATATATGTATATCACAAACAGTTGAGTATGAATCCCTGCAGAACATGACTAGTCTATATCCATATCATCATCCCTACAGTGTGGAAACAGGCCCTTTGGCCCAACGAGTCAACACCAACCCTCAGAGCATCCCACCCAGACCCATCCCCTTATAACTCACCTAACCTACACATCTCTGAAACACTAGGACAATTTAGCATGACCAAGCCACCTAGCCTGCATATCTTTGGATTGTGGGAGGAAACCAGAGTACCCGAAGAAAACCCATGTAGGCACAGGGAGAATGTGCAAACTCCACACATATAGTCGCCTGAGGGTGGAATGGAACCCAGGTCCCTGGTTCTGTGAGGCAGCAGTGCTAACCACTGAGCCACCATGCCATCACAGACCTCCAGCCTGGAAACAACCTTTCACCACTACCCTGTGCCTTCTATGGGCAATCCACATGGCCAAGTCACTGTGAATACCATGAATCTTAATCTTCTGGATGAGCCTACCATGAGGGACCTTTTCGAAAGCCTTACTAAAATCCATGTAGACGACATCCACTGCTCTTCCCTCATTGATCACCTTCGTCACCTGCTGGAAAAATTTAATCAAGTTAGTAAGGCATGACCAGCCCTGCACAAAGCCATGCTGACTGTCCCTAATTAGGCCATGCTTTTCCAAATGCCCATAAATCCTATCCCTAAGAATTCACTCCAATAGCTTCCCAACCACCAGTGTAAGACTTGCCGGTCTGTAGTTTCCTGGATTGTTCCTATTTCCTTTCTTGAAAGAGGAACAACATTAATTACTCACCAGTTCTCCGGAATCTCTCCAGTGGCTAATGAAGATACAAAGATCTTGGTCAAGGCCCCAGCAATCTCATCTCTTGTTTGTCTCAATTAGCTGGGGTAGATACCATTGAGCCCTAGGGACTTGTCCACCTTAACGCTGTTCAAGAGACTCAACACCGTTTCCTTCTTGATCTCAAAATACCCTAGCACATTAGCATGCTCCACACAAATCTTACTATCCTATCATAATGCAGGGTATTCACATTCTACTCCACATTATGTAAAATAGCAATTCTGCATAATAGTCCCTTTGCTATCCTTTCACCAGTACATAGCCCTTCAGTGGTACCACTTGTTCTGTGTCTGTCTGTAGTGTAATGTTAGCAGGCCTCAATGGTAGTGTCCATAACTTCTCCCTGTGGACTGATTCGGGAATCAGGGACACTGCTGCACCTGTATCCACTTTCCTTTCCTTTTTGGAAAAACCCAGAAATGATCAGTTTCACCCTGTACTGACAGGATGTTTGGCCAAAACTCTCCTGACTCCAGGCCTTATGCTTCTTCGATATATCCAACTAATTCCCTGTCTACTCCTGGGCTGGTGGAATGTACCTTATGCCTCGTCCTCAGGGTTGTTTCTTTCTGACAGCCCTTCTCTTGTTTAGGTTGTAACTGGCAATTTCAGGCAATATGATGCACTCATTTACACTGGGCTTCTTGAGTTCAACATGTTGACTCCTTTTGGCAACTCTTACCACATCGGCAGCATTCTATGGTTGGTACTGCACTCTGCCAAGACTCCATTACTTGATGCACCCGGGTGTCATCACTCAATTGGGTTGCTTCGCTGGCGGCCAACTCTGTTGAGGTAGCAATTTTGAAAGCTACCTTGAAATCCAGGTCTTTCCTGTTAGTAGCTTCCATTGAATGGCTTTGTATCGGAGGCCACAAACAGTCCTGCATAGTATCTTGTGGGTGCCCTCTGAATTCGCAATGTTCCCCTAACTTCCTTAAGGTGGCCACAAATTCACCAATGGACTCTCATTCATGCCGTACCTATTTGTAAAATCAGAAACATTGCACAATCATCAGTGTCTTGGGTGCAAAATAACTCCCCAACACATCATATAGCTCTTGAAATGTTTGAAATGTCTTCTCCACTGGTTTCTCTGGTTGCACCAAACTTCTTAGAATTGCAAAGGTCTTGCTCTTTATTGCACTAAAAACAACGATACCATGATGTGAGATAGTAGGAACTGCAGATGCTGGAGAATCCGAGACAACAAGGTGCAGGGCTGGATGAACACAGCAGGCCAAGCAGCATCATAGGAGCAGAAAGGCTGACGTTTCGGGCCTAGACCCTTCA